GATTAAATATAACTTTTCTTTTTTTCTTTTTTTTTTTTTCACACGTGCGCTCGTTTGTTTCTTTTTAATCGTCGTATTATTTTTAAATATGATTTTTTTTTTTTTTGTTGCTTTGCTGGAATTTTTTGTTTGAACCTTCGATTACCCCCCCCCTCTCTCTCTCTCTCATTTCACCTTCCGCGTACGAAAACTCGTTTGTTTTACACGACAATTTAAAATTAATAATGATAAATAATGCTTTTCCGTAATTTTTTTTTTTTTTTTTTTTTGGAAAATCGTTCGACTGAAAAAAGAAAAATTTATCCGGAGGGCCGACGTGATACGTCGTTGTTGTTGTTGTCGTCGTCGTCATCGCCGTCGTGGAAGTAGATTTATCAGAAATGAAAATGGAATTCAACGCCTGTTTTAAAAAGGGATATTTATCCGCGAGGGATGAAATTCAGGTGGCAGTGAATTTTTTATGTGGGAAAGGAAAAAAAAAAAAAATCCCATTTCGCATTCGGGTTTTTTTTTTCTTTTTCATCGCCTCCATCTTTTTTTTTTTTTTTTTTTTTTTTTTTTTTTTTTTTTTTTTTTGCGTTTTGTAGTCCGGTTGTGTTTGAGGTTGGTTTTCCGTGAGATAAAAACTACTTTGTTATTTTTTTTTTTTTTTTGCTTTCCATTCGATCGATTTGAGTCAAAATGAATTTTTTTTTTTTTTTTTTTTTTTCCTCTTCGAGAAAATGAAAAATAAAAAAAAGATTATCGACGAACCGGAAATGTTGTATTTCGTAAATAGATTTCCCATCGTATTCGACTTCTTTGTTTCCTTCTTTTCCTTTTTTTCTAACTTTAATTATGCATTGTATAAAAAAAAAGAAAAAAAAAATTTGCAAAAAAAAATCGTGGTTGGTTTCCATTTTGAAAAAGATGATCGTTAAAAGATGGTCGGGTCGTTTGTCGTTTTTGCTCTGAGGGTCATCAAATCGAAGAATCGGAAATTTCTTTTTTTTTTTCTATTTATTTTATATGGAAATCGCGCGCGTGTGTGTGTGTGTGTGTGTGTGTGTGTGTCATTTTATAAGAAAATTTCAACAGTTAAATTTTTTTAAATTTTATTTTAAAGGTTTTAAAGCTGGAATAAATGAAAAAGATATGAAAATGTATAGAAAATGGCGGAAAGAGGGAAAAGGGAATAATATATAAAATGTACTATTATTATTTTCATTGTTCTTTCTCCCCTAGAAAAAAAAGAGAAAGAGAGAGAGAGATAGATGGGGAATTTATTGAATGGAATTTCGTATTAGGGTTATATATATTAAAGGAACAAAAAACAAAATTGATCATTTTCGGCGGATGAACGTAACAGCCGTGAAAGTGTCAGAAACAAAATAACAACAGAGTCGTAATAAGACGATAAATTATTATGACCCTTCATTGAAACTTCCTGCCTTCATCGTTTTTTTTTTTAAAAGGGGGGATGGAAGGGGTCCCACAATTCGAAAACCTTGATTCTATGTCTCTCTCTCTCTCTCTCTCTCTCTCTGTCTCATTCCGAAGATTTAAATTGAAATTTTAAATTGGCGGGGTGGGGGGAGGCTCGGGTGCTGCATGCTTGGACGCGACAAAAAAAAAAAAAAATTTGAAAATTATTCCTCCCGTTACGTTGAAAAATCTTTACGTCACGTTTCGATGAATCGAACGGTTTAAAATTTTTTTTTTTTTTCGATAAATCGATTTAATTACGGGCATCGCGGCGAATCGATTAGTTATTATTATTATCATTATTATTGTTTTTACGGTTGGGTTGGAAAAAAATTTTTTTTTTTTTTTTTTTCAATTTCCCGGATTCCGACATCGTCCGTTCGTGTAAAAAAGAATTAATTAATCGAAGAATTTCCGGTTATTGTTTATAGTTTCTCGTGCCACGTTTTGCCATCTTTTTTTTCTATTTCGAAGAAGAAGAAGATTCGATAGGTCATCGCGTTTCAATTATAAAAACCGTTTCCTGGAAAATAAAAAATTTGCAAAAGGAAAATGTTTAACAAAAAAAAAAAAAAAGGTTTGAGTTAATAAAATTCAAAAAAAAAAAAAAAAAAAAAAAATGAAAAACTTTGGTCGTCATAGTTACGAATGAATTGAACCGAACGGAACCGAACGGCACAGATGTTTGACCGTTCGTTCGATTTTTTTTTTCCTTTTTTTTTTCTTAAATGATTTATATTTGTTTTACTTTTTTTTAAATGTAAAATTAAAAGGAATACTATTACTACTGCCACTTTGAAAACGAAAAAAAGAAAAAAAAAACGCGAAAATCTAACTGAATGTTTTTTTTTCACGGATTTTCACGGTTTTTTTTTTCATTTTTTTTTTAAGTAGTGGTTGCGGTAGTTATTGTAGTTGTTGTAGTATTAGTTGTAGTTGTAGTTGTTGTAGTTGTAGTTGTTGTAGTAGTAGTTGTAGTTGTTGTAGTAGTAGTTGTAGTTGTAGTTGTTGTAGTAGTAGTTGTAGTTGTTGTAGTAGTAGTAGTTAGAAAGTTATAAATTTTAACGATTTATTTTTTTCTTTGTTTGGAATTCCAGTGAGAAATTTGTTTTTTCCCGAAGTTTATGTAACTTATTTTTTTTTTCTTTCTCGAGTCTCTTTTCTTTCTTTCTTTTCTTTTTTTCTTTCTTTCTTTCTTTATCCTTCTTCTTTTTCATTCCTTTTTATTTTTAAAAAGAAATATATAGATTAATTCACGCGGCGTATACATATATATATAAATGTTTTCATTTTCGTAACAATTTGAAATGACAGAGAGTAATGGAACATGAAAAAAATTTTTTCGTTTCGTATTCCAGGTATATTGTTTGTTTGTTTGTTTGTTTGTTTGTTGATTCGCGTTTGTTTAAAGCAAAAAAAAAAATGGGTTCGTTTGTTGAATTTTTTTTTAATTTTAACGGGGAAAAAGGTTTCAAATTTTTAAACGCGTCATTTATTTTAAATTTTTCTTTTTTTTTTGAATTTTTTATCGTAGACATTATTATTAATGCTTGAATTCGGGGAGGAGGGTGTGGTGCGGTGTGGGGGGAAGAAACTTTTAAACAAAGGAAAATTTTTTTTTCCTAAGTTTTTAGAGTACGTTAACCTTTCGCGAATCGACGCGTAAATTTTTCAAGAAAAAAAAAAAAAACGATGATGATGATGATGAAAAAGTAATGATTTTTTTTTGGGGGGGGGGAGTTTTTTCACCCTTGATTAAATTTTAAAAAATTTATTTAATTAATTAATTAATTAATAATTCAATAATAAATAATTTATTCGATGAAATAAAAAAATAAAAAAAAGAAATATTAATTTACAAAAGTTTTTGATTACGCGGTGTAAATTTAAAGTGAGGAAAAAGTTTTTCTTTTTTTTTTACGGGAAAAATTCGTGAGATTAAATTTACTTATAGGGTGGAGGCGGGGGCGGAACATAATTTCATCTTTTTTCAAAGGAAAAGTTTTGGCGCGTAAACAAACGACAAACACACACGTACGCACTAACGCACGTGTGAAATCGACACAAAAGATGGTAATTGAAATTTTTTTTTCTCTCTCTCTCTCTCTATTCCAATGTGTCGTCGTCGTCGTCGTCGTCGTCATATTGACCGACATTTGCGTTGCAAAACGTTTAAGAAGAAAAGAAAAAAAAAATTGTTTCGGATAAGAATAAAAGAAGTTTTTGAAAAGTTACAAAAAAAAACGGAAATAAGGAAAAATAAAAATGGCGGACGGAAATTTTTTTTTACTTTGCTTTGCTTTTTACCTTTAAAAAAAAAAAAAAAGTGAAACGAAAGTGTGCGTGTGCGTGTGCGTCAAAGTTTATTTTTTTTTTAAGTGGGTAAACCAATCTCGAATTCATTATCGAAACTTTTCCGATGTCGTTCGAGGAGGAAGTAGAAGAAGGAAGGGAAAATTGAAAATTGATAAAAAAAAAAAGAAAATGGGTGGAAAATAATACTCGAAACTAAGAATCGAATAAATTCAAATTGATGACATAAATCACGTCACCGTAAATGATAATAATAAATAACTCGTTTGCCTTTTTCCTTTGCCTTTAAGATTTTTTTACGGATAAGAAGAGAAAAAGAGAAAAAAGAAAAAAAATTGACGATTATCATTATTATCATTATTATTATTATTTTCCCACGGATGAATTTATTTCCTTTTAAAAAAATCAAGTTTTTCTTATTATTATTATTATTTTTATCAATTTTTATATATATAATTTTTTTTTTTTTTTTGAAAAAACGTAAAGATTTGAAAATTTTTTTTATATCGTGGAATAAGTAGGGTGGAAAAATTTGGGAGGGGGAAGAGGAGAAAGGGAGGAAGGGTGTTGGGGGAAGGAAAAAAAAATTTTCCCACTGAAAGAGAGAGAGAGAGAGACACACAAAAATTAGATTTGATTTTTTTTTTTTTTCCATTCACTTCCGCTTTTATTATCATTATTTTTTTTTTTTTCCTTCGAAAAGAAAAGGGGGAAAATTTTTTTTTTTTTTCTCGGTAAAATTTAACGTTGCGACAAATCACGTGTAAAAAAAAAAAAATCATATTGTCGACGTCACGCAAAAACGTTTTTCTTATTTTCCACGAACGCCATTTTGTGTGTGAAAAAGTAGCGACAAAAAAAAAAATAAAAATGGGATGTGCGACATGTGGCGCGCGATATTTATTTATTTTATTTCTATCTCTCTCCTCTCTCTCTTTCTCTTTCTCTCTCTCTGTCTTTCTCACTGGTAAAAGTTTTTATTGTTTTATTTTTTGTGTTTAATAAATTATTATCGAATTTTTGTTTTTTTTTTTTTTCTATAAAAAGTATCGGAAAAATCTTTTGCGTTAACTTTAAATTGAAATTGTCAAAGAGGAAATTCAAATATTGATTGCGTCGTCGTCGTCGTCGTCGTGGCAAAAGGTTAAAAAAAAATTCGATATAATAATTCAAAGAAAAAATAGGGTTAAAATCGTCGTTCAAAAGGTAAAAAAAAAATTATCATGAAAGATGGCGATGAATTTAACCCCTGTCGAAAGGGTTATAAACGTTCGTAGATAAAATTAATTAAAAAGAACGTGAAAGGCGCCTCGAATGGGTTAAAGATTGGGAAAAACGTTCGAATTTAAACAAAGAGGGGAAGAAAAAAATGGAGGAAACGGTGACGAAGAATCGTCTTGAAGTCGGAATCTGGAAGCCGAGTACTTCAAACGAAAGGAAGTCTAGATTGGACAAACCGGATGTGACGACGTAGATCTACTAACTTTTGAAATAAGAAACAGAAATTTTCTTCTGTCCGTCGTCATGATGATGATGATGATGATGATAATAAACGGTTTTTTTTTTTTTTTTTTTTGTTCAATCGATTATCGAATCTCAACTTATTTGATTTTATTGTTTTCTATTATTTAATTGGGGGGAGAGGAGGCAGGGGGAGTTTGGGTTTGCGGTTTAAAGTTTTATTACTGAATTGAGTAAAGAAAAGAAAAAAAAAGGGAAAAGGAATTTTTGGCATTTCTCAAGTTTATCTTGAAAACTCGACGGGGGAAGAACGTAAAAGTTTAGAAACCTGAAGAAGAGTGGTATGAAATGAAGGGAAGAAAAGTGGAAAAGGGGGGAGGGGGAGAAAAAAAAAGGATCGAATTTAAATATTTAAAAAAAAAAAAAATGATGGAAAAGTTTTTTGAAAGTTGAAATGAAAATTGCATTAGGAAATTTTCCGTTGGAAAAAGAAAAAAGGAAATAAATGGCTGGCGAAGAAGAAGAAGAAGGTAATAAAACAAAAGGAAAAAAAAATTCGATGATGATGATGATAAGAAAAAAAGCGAAACGTTAAAAATAAAAAATTCAATAACTTAAATTTATTATTTAAAAAAGTAAAAGTGGCACAAGAAAAATTTTTTGAAAAAACGTCAAAAATGTTTTTTTTTTTAATTATTATTTCTTTCAAACGCCTCATTTCGATTGTAACGTTTTTTTTTTGTCACTTCCGTTCGTTGTCGTTTGATTGATATACTTTTTTCCCTTCCCCCCTTTCCCCTCCCCTCTCCCCGTAGTAAAAATATTTCGGTTAAAGGTAAACCGTTTGTTTTCGGTCTTTTTTTTTTTTTTTTTAATTTTTAAATTGTCGTGGTTTTAATTTTTTAAATTGTAGCGTGCATTTCCTGTCGTCGTGGTAGTAGTAGTAGTGGGAGGAAACCCGTCGTCGTATAATAAAAACGAATTAAAAAATTTTTTCGCACCGGAAAAAATTTCGAGAGCGAATTAAGAAGAAAATTTTTAAAATTCTTTTTTTGTTTTCGTTCGTTAAACGGTAAAAAAAAAAAAAAAAAAAAAAAAAAATTTTTTTTTTTGCTTTTTATTTTCGCCAAAAAGGCACGTTCGGGAATTCGTCGAATTTCGTTTCGAAACGTTCGCGATAAAAAACATTTTCAAAAAAAAGGGGGGGGAGAAATTTTTAAAAATATTCCCGCCCAAAATATCAATTCCCTAATTCCATTCACGTTTGGAAAAGGTTTTTTTTAAAATAACATTTACCTTTAAATTTTCACGGCGCTAAGAGGGGAGGAAAGAGGAGGTATGGAGGGAGAAGGAGGAGGGGGAGAAATTAAAATTAAAAAAAAAAAAATTGAAATGAATGACCGACCGACCGACCGGTTTTCGAATAGAAAAAGAGATTATGTAAATTTCGTTTGGAAAAAAAAAAAAAATTAGAGTAAATTCTCTCTGGAACGGAAAAAGGTTACTACTGGAGAAATCATTTCAAAACTTTTTTTTCCCCTTTTTTTTCTCTTTTTTGCAATCACTGGCTAAATGAATGTTTCAGTTGATTGAATGTAAAAGTAAAATGTCAAAGGTAAAAAAAAAAAAAAGAGAGAATTATAATATATTTCCGAAAAGAGTGAGAGAGTGAGAGAGAGAGGGACTGACGAAAAAAAAAAAACTAATTAAAATATTTAATTAGCGTAAAAGGTGTTGAACAGGTACGACAAGGGAAAAATTATAAAAAAAAAAAAAAAAAAAAAAAGTTAAACGCGCGCAATTAAGCAAATTTTGAGTTTTTTTTTTTCAAAATTCGTTGGAAAGTTTTGAAATTTTTTTTTTTTTGCGTTTTTCCCGCGCAAATATTTTTAATTGTCACCTGGGTGTTGACAAAGTTTTTTTTTTTTTTTTATTTACCTGAGAGTTTGAAAAACGCGCGTGCGAGAGAGAGAGAGAAAGAGAGGGAAGGAAAAATGAAATTTCTGATTTATTTTATTTTCATCCCCGTCACATTCGTCGTCGTCGTCGTCGTCGTCGGTGGAGGTGGTGGTAGAATTTTCAATTTTTGTAAAAAGGTTTTTTTTCCCCCCCCCTCTCTCTCTCTCTCTCACTGTTTCGAGGTGGTGGCTGCTCCTTTTTTTTTTTTTTACTTTTTTTCCTCTCCATTTTGCTCTTTTATTTTTTATTTATTTAAATTGATGTACTGCTGGAGAGGATTTAGAAAGGGTGAAAGGGAAAAGAATGACCGAAGATCGCAAACGGTTTTTTTTTCGCTTTTTATTTTCCTTTTCCCTCCTTCCTTCGCCTCCCCACCGACCTACCCCCTCCCCTTCCCCTACCCCCTCTTGAAATCTTTAGTTTGAATGCTAATATGCTAATGCTGGAAAAATTCTAAAAGGAAACAGTTTAGTTGTTAGTTTTGTTGGTTTATAAAGAAAAGAGAGCGAGGCGACGGCAAAAGAAAAAACGTTGAAAAATTATTATTATTGTTGTTATTATTATTATTACTATTATTATTAATGCGATTTTTTCAATCATCGAATGTTTGCACGTCAGGAATGAAATAGAAAAACGTTTTTTTTTTCTCGATCGCAATTCGCAAATTTTCTTTTTTTTTTTTTTTGCAAAATGGCCGTCGGAAAATTTTTTTACTCGCCGTCTTTAATTAATATTAATCCGTCCGATGAAAAAATTTCCACGATTTAAAAGCAAAAAAAAGAAAAGGGTGTTCGAATGCTTTTTCCCCCTACCCCTTCCCCCGTTTCCATCTCAGTTTTTTCCAGAGGAGGAAATTTATTTATATTTAAAAAAAAAAAAAAAAAAACTAAAAAAATTTTTTTTTTCTAACTCATTATTTCCAACAATAAATTTATAAGAGCGGAAAAAAAAAGTTTTAAAAAAAAGAGTTCAATTATTATTATTATTATTATTATTATTATTATTATTATTATTATTATTATTATTATTATTATCTGTATTTTTTTTTTCGATTCGGAAGTTTAGAGTTTAAAAAAAAAAAAAATTTCAAAATGAAATATATTTTTGTGCTTATACTTAAAAAAAAAAAATAATTGCTGTTGGTCGAATTTTCCGGCGGAAAATGTCGGCGGCGACATAAGTAGTAGAAAGTGAGATGAGGCTCACGTAATAGTAGTAGTAGTAGTAGTAGTAGGAGGTCTTTCCCTGTTGTTATAAATTATTAATTCGTTCGCTGTTTTTTTTTTTTTTTAAAAAAGGAAAATAAAAAATTCCTATCGGGTATTCTGGAACGCTGAAAAAAAAAATTTCGATTTAGAACAACAGCAACAGCAGCAACAGAAATACGAACGATTTTCATTTAATGCATGGATTCGTTAATCATAAAATATAATAATAATAATAATAAAATGGCTTTAAATTCATCGAAACGAAAAAGGATTATTTATTTCTTTAAGATGGTTTCCGGAATAAAAAAAAAAAAATTATTAGAATTTAAATTCGTAAATCGATTTATAAGAAGAAAAAAAAAAGGAAAAAAGGAAAACAAACGAGTGATGGAAACTCAATTCATTTTTCTTTATTTTTTCCGCCGACGCCGCCCCCCCCCCAACCGGCTTTTCCTTCTTTTTTTGTGCCTTATTCTCTCCTGACCAACATGATTCGATCCATCATCGTAAACCTTTCGCAATCCTTTGTGTATATGCGTTATAACATAAACAATATTTTCACGTGACGTCACAAATGGTTTGTTTGCGTTTGCCTCCGGATTGTTTTCATTCTATTGTTTTTTATTTAAAAATGTCGTCGTTTTATATCACGAGCGAATGAATCGCCGCAAAACAAAAAAAAAAAAAAGAAGAAAAAATCGAGTCGAGAGTAAGGATGGATACCTGCTGCGAAAACCGGATATGTAAATGGATGATGTTGAAAACGATTTTAAAACCACGTGCCTGGAAATAGAAGAAACCTTAATAATAATAATAATAAATTCGTCATTTAAATGCAAATCGTCGTCATCACAAAGGTCGGAAGTCGGAGAAAGAAAAAAAGAAACAAAAAATTTATTTATTTATTTATTTTTTTCTTTTGTATACCGAAATTCCACGAGGAAGAATCGTCAAGTCGCACGTTATTCATATAATCATCACGATCTATTGACACGTTAATTTACTTCAGAATGTAATGGCGGGCAGACCGGAAAAAGAAATTAAAACGCGAGGTGAAGAACGTTTTATATTTTGTTTTGGCTTTTCCGGCGGGAATTTTAATGTTTTGCAGACGATCGAGATTCGATTCGATTAATCGTTCGAGATTTTTTTTTTTTTTTTTTGGACGATGGAACATGGCTGACCGTTTGATTGATGGAATGTTAAGTGGATGAATGATGATGATGGTCGGGAAGTTTTTTTTTCATTTTTTTTTTCTCTCGTTAAAAATTTTTTAGTGAAAATTTAATTAAAATTATTTTTTCTCGTACTTTATAAGTTTTGTTCGAAATGGTTTGAAATTAAAGTTTTTTTTTTTTTTTTTTTTTAACGCGGCGAAATATTATTAAAAAGTTATGATAAAACTTTTAAAAAACCCAAGATGAAATTGTAACGGTAAAAAGCGGGGGGGAAGGGAAGGAAAGGAAAAAAAGAAAAGTTTAAAAAAAAAAAAAAAAAAAAGATGGGGAAGGAAAAAAAGGGGAAGGAAAAAAGGAAAGGGAAAAAGATAAAAAAAAAAAAAAAAAAAAAAACTTTAAAAGTTTTGATTGTTTTGAAAATGAAATAAAAAAAAAAAAAAAAAAAAGGAAAAATTGCGCCATTTTTAAATCCCGCGCATAAATTTTTTTTTTTTTGTAAATTAAAGGAGAGGACGAATTTATTATTATTATCATTATTATTATTATTATTGCTATTCTCAAGGCTCTGGAAAAATGAAAATAACGGGAGGAGAAAAAAAAAGGAGAGAAATAGAGAGAGAGAGAGTTTTGAATTACGAGATGGAAAATTTCATTTTTTTTTTTTTTTACTATTTAAATTAATTCACGTTTGAGTTTTCAGGTTGGAAAATTTTAGTAAAAATGAAGATGATAATAATAATGATAATAATAATAAATGTTTGAGTGGAAAGTTTTAAATTGTTTTTTTTTTTTCCGTTTGGAAAAAAGAAAATTTTTTTCTTTTTGCCGGTGATTTAAAATGGTAGGCTTTCAATTTTTTTTTTTTTAAAGAAAAATTCATGGTTGGCATCCATTGAACAAGAAAAAAAAATAATAATAATAATTTTCTTTTATTTTAAATAACTAATTAAAGAGGAGGAGGAGGAAGAAAAAACTTGGGAGGGAAGAGGGAAAAGGGGGAAGCTCGTGGAGGCAAAGAGGCCCCCCAACAAGATGAAGAAAAACTCATTAAAACGGTTTTTTTTTTTTTTCGTTTTTATTTTTCCCTGGTTTTTTTTTTTTTTTTTGTTTTTTTTTTGCTTTTGAATTTTATTTTTTTTTCTTCTGCCACGACGTCGTCCTTCGTCGTATTATCTTTTCGTTACAATTATCGTAATATTTGTCAAAGGTTTTATTTGGCATATGAAAAGCTCGGAAATTTTTTTCTCCTTTTTTTCCTTTTTTTTTGTTTAAATGTAATCCGTTGTTTGGATTTTATTTTTATTTTTTTTTTGAAGATTTTCATTAAAAAATGTTAGTTTACTTGTTGATTTGAAAAGAAAAAGAAAAACAAAGAGAGAGAGAGAGAGAGGAAAAGGAAATTTTTTTCATTTTAAATAAGCCAAAAAAAAAAAGGAAAAATTTAGTTAATCACAGGAAGCATTTATATTTGTTTTATTTTTAAATTTTATTTTTCTTAAAATGATAAATATTTCAAATTGATTTTCCTTTGTCGTTTCGTTAAAATCCTTTGGTTCGATTCCTTTGACTTAAAAAAATAAAAAAAAATGAAATTTTTTTGAAAAATTTGGTGTGTGACAAGTTAGTAAAAACGAAAATTTTTCATTCGTTCTCCCTCCTACAAAAATATTTTTTTTTTTTTTATTAAATTTTGAAGTGAATAATAATGATGATGATGATGATGATGATAATAATAATAATAATAATAATAATAATAATAATAATAATAATAATAAAATGTATGAAACATTGATATCGTTTCGGCGAAAAAATGGGAAAAAAAAAAAAAATAAATTTTTTGAAAGGCACGATCAAAGGTAATGAACCAAACCACAAATTTTAAATTGAAAATTTTTTTTTTTTTTTCATTTTTTCCTTTCGTTCGAAATTTTCCCTCTTTTTTTTCCTACTTTTTCCCTCGCTTTTCGAATATTCGGGGATTTTCATTTTCTATACACGACCTTTGACCTATGCTTTTCCACTAGCTAGTGACGGAAACTAATGAGGATAATGAAATAACTTTTTCATTGCAAAAGTTTTCCAACTCTAAGTGAAAAGCGAAAAGTGTAATTAGTTTGATAAATATAAATTGTTTTTTTCGAGAGAGAGAGATCCCTTACCGTCCTTATCCCCTCCATCTTTTTTTGTTGTTGACCTTCAATGAGTTTACGTGGAAAACGAAAAAAGAAAAAAAACGGAAAAAAGGAAATTGATTGTTTCGTTAATGTTGAAAATGGAATCGGTGTGAATCGTTGAACGAGACGAATAAAAAAGGATAAAAAGGAAATTACGGTAAAAATATTTTACATCTGGTGCCACGATATTTATATTCCGCATCGTTGTTGTTTTTATTACTACTACCTTTACCCTCATCGTAATAATAATAATAATAATAATAATAATAATAATGATAGAAAGTCATTAACTTTTGATTTTCCATCGATTGATGACGATGATGATGATGTTTTTTTGTTTTTGTTTCAGAGGGGATGATGTACAAAAATCGTTGGAGCTTTTGGACAAAGTTCTGTCAGAGTTTGACGATATAGAAAACGGAAATTTGGACGGGGATAGCATAGCGTCAGTGCAACAACAAACTCTAAACATAAAAAATAGTTTATTTGAAAAAAAAAATAATAAATCGACGACGGACACGGGGATTCGTGTGGCGGGTCAAACGGACGACGACAGTCCATCGTTGGGCGGACACCAGTCGGAAGACGACGGGTACATGAGCATGAATGGTAAAAAGGCTAAATTCGTATTAAGTTTTCGTCCCGTTTCGGACGAAGTCGGTAATAACGAATTGCCTCCGGCTCCGGATCCACCGCCAACTGAATCGCCGCCCGAAGAAATGGCGGATTTTCCACCGCCTCCCGAAGAAGCGGAAAGAATTATATCGAATTTACTTCCAAAGTCAGTTCAAATAATTGGGTTAAATTTTTTTTTTTTTTTCTTTTTTTTTGTAAGGTATCGATTTAAAAATTCTTTCTTTTTCTTTTTTTTAGGGTTTCACCCGTGAGTTCGGGTAAAAGGCAAAAAACAAGTAATCAAATACGTTTTGTAAAGCCATTTTTGACTTCGATGACTTTAGGAAAAGAAATTAATCAGGTTAAAATGGAGGATGGAAATGCGACGACGGCCACACAAACCACACTCGTGAGTATATATAAAAATAATAATAAAAATGTACTTCCGGTTCCGGTGTTTAATGGTTTGCACCTTTTAAAGTTTTTTTTTTTTTTTATTTCTTTTACGTAATAAAATCATTTGCCGCCTTTTTTTTTTTTTTTTGTTGACTTTCGAATGATAATCGTCGTCACCCCTGACGCCAACGTATTGAGAATAATAATGTCGTGGAAGAAGAAGAAAAAGAAAATTTTGAATTTGTAAAAAAATTTGGACGAAATAATAAGTTTTGTTGAAAAGTTTTTTTTTTTTTTTAAGTTGGCAGTTGTAGGAAAAGAAAATGCCCGAATATAAAAAGAGAGTGAGAGAGAGAGAAAGTTAAGTTTATCCTTTTTTTTTTTTTTAGTTTTCACAATTGAATTTTATGTTTAGAAAAGAAAAGAAATTGGGGAAAAGATGGTAGACGTCGAAAGGAATATTTTAGAAAGAAAAGAAATAATTTTTTTGTTTTTGTTTTTATTCTATGTCTCTCTCTCTCTCTCTCTCTCGTTAATGATATATTTTCGTTGGGGGAAAATCATTTGAATGGAATTTTCCAGAAAAAGAAAATTTGTTTTTTTTTTTTTTTTTTTTTTTTTTACGTAACACAACTAATTGATTTCGCTTTTCTTTTTTTTGTTGGGGGTGCTAATGATCATTTTCAACAAACCGTTAAAAAAATCGACCAATAGGAATTTTTTGTATTGAATTTGAGGACGCATTCTGATTGGTCAGAAATTTTTTTTTGTCGTTTGAAAAGGCGGGGGTTTTTACTTAACAAAAAAAAAAAAGAAAATTCGATTAATTTTTTTTTTTGTTTAGCTTTGTCTTTGCGATTGAATTTTTTTTTTTTTTTTTTTTTTTTTTTTGGGGGGGTTGTAATTATCGGTTTACCGGAAAAATGAAATCCATAATCCAACCCCAAATTCGGAAAAAACTAATTATTGAGTAGACAGTTAGAAAAACGGTTTCGTTTTTTTTTTTTAACTGATTTTTTTGGCGCGTTTAAAAATAGAAAAAATTATTTAATTTTCGAAAGAGAAGAAGAGCTCCCTCCAAAATTTGTTTCGAAATGAGGAAGTTGTTGAAGTCCGTGAGACGGAGGGAAAAAAAGAAAAACGTGGAAGTAGAAAGAAAGAAAGAAAAAAAAAATTTTATTTTTTGTTGTTGTTTTCATTGTCGTTTGTTGTAAAACGTACTAAAGTTTTTTTTTTTTTTGTCGTCGACAAAATAATAATAATAAATTTTCTAACGCTACGATTTTCTTTTTTTTCGTTGTTTTATATTGGTGCCCCGCAATAAAAAAATAATAAAATAAAATAAAACGAAATTTTCTTTGTTTGTCGTCATCGTTGTCGGAAGAAAAAGGGAAAAAAAAAAAAAAAAAAAAAAAGATCGTCGAGGAAACGAAATTGGTGAGGGGGGAGGGGGGAGGAAAAACTATTAGAAAACTTTTTAGTCATTTTTACTTTTTTAACTTTAATAACTTTTCAGACGCGATTGATTGTAAATGGATTTTTTTTTTTTTTTATTTTCTCCATGTAAAAAAAAAAGAAAATCGACGGGAACGTTTCATTATTAAAATAATTTACGAATTTTAAAATATATATACATATTTAAATAAAATTGATTTCAATCGAAAACAATGAAAAACGACCGATTGATTGATTGACTGACTGACTGAATGAATGAATGAATGAATGAATGAATGAATGTAAACAACGATTTACATTTAAATAGAAATGGCGTCGGAAAACGAATTCGAAAATTTTCTTCTTGCATGCATGCAAAAAAAAAGGTTTAATTTAATTTAATCGATTTATTATTTCAGCCTAAAACTCGTCATCAAAGACCCTACGGATGGGAAAACAACGTTGTTCAAGTACCGCCATTTCATCTTCAAATGCCTCATCACGTTCAAAATAAATACGGAAGTCTCCCTTACGAAGGTGCTCTTCACCAGTTCAGGTATCCTCCGCCGTGGATGCAAAAAACAGGTGAGAAGAAAAAATAAATTTTGGCGAATGGCAATGGGGGGAGGGGGTTGGGGAGAAAAGGAAAATAATAATAATGAAAATATAACAATTTATGCTTATGATAATCGATTTGAATTTTAAATTCCAAAAAAAAACGCCTTACAAACGATGTTTAGATTTTTTTCTCGCATTTAAAGTTTTCTTTTATTTTCCAACGTTTAAGTTTTTAGGGAATGTAAGATGATTATTATTGTAATGCTAAATCTAATACGAATCAAAGTTTTCTTATATTTATCTAATGGGTTTTTTTATATTTTTCAAAAAAAAAAAAATTTTTTTTTCAAAAGTTAATAAATTTGAATGAATGAATTAATAATCCGCGTAAAATATAATAATAATAATAATAATTAGGAAAAAATGGCCGTCGAATTAGAAAGAGCGAAAATTATCGTGAAAGAAAAAAAAAACGAAAAATGTGTTGCATGCATGGTTCGAAACGACTCGAGTTCTTTTTTTTTTTTTTTTTTTGTTGGTAAACCTTTTTTTTTTTTTTTAATTTTTCAGGTCCTTTACCCCCGAGAACTTTGGCTTGCGCTTTGGACAAGCACAGAGAAGTTCGTAGGCAAAATATGGACGATGGAACCCACGTCGGGAATCGATACGGAGATGACGATTCGAACGACGATGACAATCCGGCAAATTTTTCCGACGATTCATTGGAGGAATCGCCGCCGTCGCCATTCCCGCCATTAAATAAAAGGGGAAGCATTGCGTGGGAAGTTCCCTTGGGTTTCGAAGACGATGAAACTTACATGGCGCCTGGAAGCACCAAAGTCATCGGAAGGAGAAGAAGAAAATCGACGGATCATTCAAGTTAGTTGAAAAACAAAAAAAAAAAAAACGAACAGGTGAAAAGGGAATAAAAAAAAAAAAAGGGAAGAAAGGGAAGAAAGGAAAATCCAAATACTATTAATTATGATAATAATAATAATAATAAAAACAACAACTACTGCAATGACAGTTACAAGAGTAGAAAAAAAAAAAAAAAAATTCTCGTTCGTGATCAGTTAAAGTTTCCCCCCCCACTTTTATTATTATTATTATTATCATCATTTAAAATTTATCAATTCGAAAGGGGGAAAATTGAAAAGTTTTCGACTTAAAAATTTAAAAACCTATAAACCTTTCTTTGACACACACGCACGCACGCACGCAACCCCCACCCCCACCGTATTGGAGATTATTTTAAATTTTTTATCCATTTGACGAATTTCCCTGTCATTTTTATTATTATTATCATCATCGATATTCTTTTCGTGAGATCATTGAAAAAAAGGGCGGGAAGGGGGGGGCAGGGGGCGGGAAACTTGAAATGTATTTTTAATACGTGGCAATGTGTACCACCGGTCTTAAAGTTACATGTCAAACGTACAAGAATATTTTTTTTTTTATTCGAAATCGAACAATGAAAAAAAAAATTTATTATTATAAATCATGATTTTTCTCTTTCAGGATTTTTTTTTTTTTTTTTTTTTTATGAGATGGTTATTCAATAATAAGAGGGGGGAGAGAGAGTGAGAGAGAGAGAAAATCGGATTTTTTTTTCTTTTTTCTATTCTCTCTTATTTCTAGCAATAAATAAAGATTTACCTTTTGAAATAAATATATATATATTTAGGTTTTGATAAAATTCTTTTCTTTCGGATTTTGATTAATCGTTTAAATAATTATTTTTAATTGAAAAAATATTTAGGTTCATGTAAACTTTTCCTTTTGATTATATGGGAAAAAAAATGATGATATGATGAAGAAATCAAATTTTTTTAAAAGAGTTATTAATGTTAAAAAAAAAAAAAAAAAAAAAAAAAAAAGATTATGTAAATATTTGCATTAAAGAGATTTTTTTTTTTTTTTTTTTTTTTTGTAAATCTGGGGGGCAAAAAAAAATAAGAAAAAAAAATTTTCTTCTTATTTTTATCTTACCCTCGAGTAAAGTAATAAAACATTTATTTTAAAAAAAAAAAATTTAAATTTAAATTCATTTTGAGAGATGTGGGGGAAAAGAAAAAAAAAAAAAAAATTGATTAATGAAAAAATATATTATTGCGAATCAAACGTGTGTGTCGGATTTGAATAAGATTAATTGTAAATATGGCGACGTCTTCATTTTTCTTTTTTTAAATAAAAAATTATTTTGTGACGTAATAAAAAAAAAAAGGAAAATTGTCAATTGTTTTTAATAATGGCGGAAAATTTAAATTTTATGAAATTTTTTTTTTTTGTTTCAACGGTTATATAGATTGCGTCGGTAGTAATTTGTTGTTTTTGTTTCGTTTCAGGTACGAATTCGATTAATCGATCGAGAGATTTGGAAGATTGGCCCGAACCGCCGAATAATCCGGACGATGAAATAATTTCACCGTACAGCGATTCGTATTACGGTTCAAACGATGGCCTTCCGGAAGCTTTGCCCCTCGATTTGACATTTAACGGAACTTACGTAATAAGAAAAGGAAGAAAAAAAGAGAGGTGTAGTTTGAGTAAAAATTTACCGTCGGAATCTCGTCAGACTCCTCCTCCTCCTCCTCCTCCTGTTCTTCCTCCGGTCAAATACGAAAGACAGTCTAGTTTGGAAGGTCGGAGCGCCATGAAAGGAAATTTCGATTTGAAACGCGCGAGTTCGACTTTTGACAATATTAAATCTTTGTTAAAAGAAGGTTTGATTGAAGGTTTAAACGATCCTCCGCCTGATTTTTCACCGCCCAATCCTCCCAAATTAGTGAGAGTCGTTTCACTGCCCACGCTTTCGGTCGATAAAAGCGAAGTGTCGGATCACGTCGAAAATCATCATAGAAATTCTAAATGCGAAAGATTTTGTAAAATGAACGAATTGGCGGTGACGCTGGAAGAAGCCGAAGATGAACTCAACAGTCTCGACAATCCGAGTTTAAACGATCCGCCGGATTCTCTGGCGAACGACGAGGAAAAGGAAAACGTTTTTAACGGTAACGTTGAAAAAATTCATTCGAAAAGAGAATATTGTCAAAGGGCAACGACGAAAAAGTGCAATGAAGTGGAAACGCAAACCGATTTAAGTGACACGGAAGCTCAAAATGAATTAGATTTAGCCGGAAAACAATTTTCCGAAATGTCAAAAACCAAATCCGAATTAGAAGAAGTTGAAAAAAAAATACAAGAAATAGTCAAAATAAAAACAGTTATTGAAAATCAGGGGAGGGAAGAGGAATTTTCGGATCCGTGGGTAAAAGCAGAAGATAAACCCCCGGATGAATTTCCAGTCAACGTGGAAGTACTCCAACACGATTTCGGACCTCTACCGCCATCTCCCGTGGAAGAAGACGACGACGAAGATGACGACGATGAAGAAGAAGAAGATGGAGGAGAAGGAAGAGATAAATATTCGAACGTGTTTCGATCGACTTCTGCGCAATCGTCGGGAAAAGTTAAAGAGGACGGATTTTATCGATGCGAAGATCCCCCTAATAGCGATCCAAGTGGAAAGTACTTAAATCGACCACCGGAGCCTCTACCTCACAGGGCTTCTGATCCGATCCCCATCGGTTTAATATGTCGTTCCTCGGATGCGGGGTTCAATAGGGGTCCCAGATTATATTCAAATGAATCGAGGAACGAGGTGAGAATTTTTAAAAAGGAATGAAAAAACAAAAAAAAAAAAAATTTTTTATTTTTAACGCGACAAGAGCCCTTTTTTCAAATTTTATACGTCACAACAACTTTTTTTTTTTTTTTTTTTTTTTGTTTCATTGATTATTTTAAGCCATCATGGAAATGATTAAAATAATATTATCCCTTTAATTTATTGATTAAAATTAATCCGTTTCAACGTAGTTTCTATTTATGTTAATATATGTATGTATTTTTTTTTTCGTCAGAAAACAACGGAAAGAAGAACGTTACCGTCGGAATTTCCGGGACCGGTATCAAGGCGGAGAACATTTCAAAAGCGATCGTCGACGTTGCCACAAGAAAACAGTCAAACGTCTTGTTCGCTCCCCGAGACTCCTATTTTTTCAAGAGGTTGCGACATACCCAGAACTCCTCATCGTTGCGCTCCGGGAGATTCTATACGTCCCGGAGGGCTGCAAAGCAGCACGTACAGACGTAACGGAGGGATCGCTAATTCGAATGCAAATTGTAAAACGGGAGGAGGAGGAGGAGTCACGCTTCCCGGAGGAGGAGGAGGAGGATTCAATCAAGGGATTGTCGGAGCCGAATTGTTGAGACTTGCGGGTGGTCCCGGTCGAGGATGGTATCCTCGTCACAGGCAACACAGACCCGCATCAATCGAACAATTGGATAGACTTCCTCATTCGGGAAATAATTCGGAAAATGGATTGCCCGGACCCTGGGACATGAATACCTCAATGAGAAAACCCATGACTCTACCCCCGAACATTACTCCGAAATTTTTTCATCGATCTCCGAGAGAAGCTTTAAGAAGAGTTACTAGTCTTTTAATTAGAGGAAAGGGTAAGTGAAATTTATTTATTATTTTTAATATTTTTTCGTCAAATGGAAAAATTCTCTAATTCGGTCGACTCGCACTCTAAAAAATAAAGTAATTCAGTCATTTAAATTTCAAACGTGATATGGGAGAATAAATGTGAAATCCGATATTAAAAAAAAAAAAAAAAGTGTACGGTGAGCAGCCATGTGAATTCCACGTGCTCCTTAAACTCCGTTCAGTGCTGCTAACTACACGATTATTTCAATAAAGCGGAACTTGAATGCGGATTTGCGTGAATCGAATAAAGTCATGGACGCTTTATAGGCGGGCGTGGCGGCACCAACGCTTCTCACGTGTTTCTCTTTCTTTGTGAGTAAAAAGAAATGGAGAGAGAGCGTTTAAATTGTGGAAAACTCATCGTTTTTTTTGCTCACTCGAACGAAAATTATTCCTTTTTTTATGAAAGGGGGGAAAACTGGGCGAGGTGGGAAAGAGAGGAGAGAAGGGGCCCACGGAGATGAAACCGAAAAAAAAAAAAACTTTATTTTTCGGGGGTTTTTTTATTTTCATTTTCATTTTTTTATTTCAAATCATACTTATGAAAAAACTCATTTTGTTCTCCATTTTTTTTTCTTCTCCTCCACATTCCCGTTTCCCCCCCCCTCTCTCTCTCTCTCTCTCTCTTTATCCTTAACATTTATAAACGGGAAGAAGGGAAGGAAAGCGAATGATGATTCGATTTTACGTTTTTTGAATTTGACCGTCTTTCGCCATTTTCGGATGAATGAAAATGCTGTTTTTTTGCAAAGACTAACGAAATTTTTTTTTTTTTTTTATTTGGCTTTCTTTTCTCTCTCTCTCTCTCTCTCTTTTTCTCTTTTCCCACCGCTTGATTTTGTTTTTGAATTTTATCGCGGTTTTCACTATTTGAGGAAAACGAAGGAAAACGACGCGAGATCCACTTGGCAAGAGAACAGAAATCCGTGTTTATTTTTATACTTCATTCATCAATACTTTTTCCTTCGCTTTTCCATTACCTTTTCTTTTTCTTTTCGTTTTTTCGACTCTATGAGGGATCCTACACTTAATGGAAAATGATTTTTAAAAAAGGAAAAACTTTCGTAGTATTTGTCACCGTGATAAATTTTATACACGTGTGTGTGTGTGCGTGTGTGCGTTTTTGTATTTGGTGATGATGTGGCGAAAAATCCCGTGAGTTGTTGTTACTGAACAGAAAAAAAAAAAAACGTTCGATAAGAAATTTTTTTTTTTTTTCATGCATTGGAAGGAGATAATATTTAACGGTCTTGTTTTGTCTAAAAATTTAAAATGATTGAGTTTTTTTTAGTTTTTCCGGGAGGGGGGGGAAGAGAGAATTTACACAAATTTAAAAGTACACACAAAATGGTTTACCATAAATCTATATATATATATATATATAAAAGTCGTTTAAAAATTTGCAAACAAGTTATAATCATCGAAAAAGAATAAATAAGTCAAGGCGAGAGAGTGAGAGAGAGAGAGAAAGGTGGGGGGGCGAGCCAGTCAGCCAGCCGCGCGGAATTATTAAATTTTTTATTTATTTAACGATTAAATCTCGACGTCTCATGATGAAAATGATGACGATGACCTAAATACGAAATTTAAACAATATGTGAAAAGGGATTAAAATTATTTTTGAAAAAAAAATGAAAAAAGGGGGGGGATGAAGAATCGCGAATTATTATTTATTTTTCCCCCTTGCCCCCTCCTCTCCCTTCTTCCCCCGTTTCGCGAGCGTATTTCGGTTATTATTATTATTTATTTTATGTCTATATTTTTAATCCGGGTCAGGTACGAGTTGGAAAAAAAAAAAAAAAAAAAAAAAAAATTTGCCATGGCATCAATTAAAATTGTCCCTGTTTTTTTTCCGATAATAATAATAATCGCTTATGATAAACGCTCGTGTGGTTGATTTAAAAAAAAAAAAAAAAACGCATTCGAGAGGGCAAATGAGGTTTTTTTTTTTTTTTTCTCTCAATCAAGGAAATCAAGTTTTTGGCATGAAGAGAATTGATCGTTTTTAAAATCCAAAATATTTCTCTCTCTCTCTCTCTCTCTCTCTCTTTCTTTCTCTATGTTTCGTTTTCTATTTATTTCTTCTCTCTCTCTCTCTCTTTTTTTTTGGGGGGGGGTAGGGTGTTTGTTTGTTTGCATCAATGACGCAATAATATTATTATTCTCACGACCCATATAATTTAAAACGTGGCGTGAAATGGTTGGTTATAGATATCAAATGGAAAAACGTATGTCGTTTTCTTATTATAATAATCATCATCATTATCGTCGATAGTATTTAAAAATTTTTTTGGATGAATTAATTTGCGAAAATAGAAAGTAAAAAAAAAAAAACATTAAAAAAAAAAAAATTATAAATAAATTTTTATTTATTGTTTTTTTTTTTTTTTTTTTTTTGTTTCGCTTAGTCGACTTAATCGTGAATTTTTGCTTGGAATGGAAAAAGAAATAAAAACAAGTCTGTCTGCGAGAGGCTTTTTGTGTCAAATCGCAATCGGTTAGAAAAAGTATGTAGGCTAACCTAATAGAACCTGAAAGTAGTTTCGAATTTAAATTTGCTGGAGTCGTATTTTTTTTTCTCGAAAGGAGGGAGGAAACGAGAGAGAGAGAGAGAGAGAGGGCGAAAATGCGGGACGAAAAGAGAAAGAAACGATTCGGAAAAAAGGAAACATGGATGGCGGGAGGAAATGAACGAAAAATAAATATACTAAGACACCATACTTCTAGTCGTTTAATTAGTATGTTTTGGTGCTGACTACTACTACAAACTTCTCGATGCTTTCCAGTTATAAAGGAAAGGAAACAACAAACAACACGGACGCGAAGACTACGCGTTATGAATTTTTATGTATTCATTTTCTCGAATATAAACTCGTTTTATATTGAACGCATAGAGGAGGAAAAACGAAGAAGAAGAAGGAGAAAGAGAGAGAGAGAGAAAGAAAGAAAGAAATAAAAAATTGAAACGATGAGGGGATGATTATTTAAATTTGTCTCTCCCATTTGCTTCCTCGTTGTTGCCTCCCCGTGGAAAAGTGAATTTTTTTTTTTTTTTTTAATAAAATTTACAAATTCCAAATACGTTCGCGATGACCATATCAATGACGTAATCAATAAATAATTTAAAAAAGGTGATATTGGATGAACGTGAAAGCAATTAATGAATGCCACCTTTCGCCATATTGGTCTCGCGCCATATTGAAATTTTTTTGGCGCGTTTACGAAATTTGTAGTCGTTCACAAGTACGAAGGTTGGAAAACGAAAAAGGATCGTGTCAAATAAATCCCTGTCGAAAAAAAGGAAAAAAACAAAAGCCTGGACGCGGGAAAGATAAAAAATGTTTTATTCAGTGTCCCCGAGGGAGGGAGGAAGGGGGGCAAAAAGATTTTCATCCGTGAATTAAAGTAAAGATTAACGCGTTCACGCTAGAAAGACGTTTTTAAATCGTAAGAAAAGGAAGAAGTTAAAACTCGACAGGAAAAATATGGCCGAGAAATTTGGGAACGAATAATGGAAGCATCGAAACCTGCCTTTAAAAAAAAAAAAAAAAAAAAAAAGTTCGTTACTTTGCATACCGGCAACAAATTACTGTCTCTGACCTCTTTAAAAAAAGGCGGTGGTGACACAAGACGACGACATTCATGTTTTAAAATTTTTTTTTTTCCCGTTCTGTTGTTTTGCTGTTGCTTACTGGAAATTGTTTAACTTTAAAAATATTTTGGTTTAATCGAAGGATTACTACTGTCACTGATTTCTGTTGTTGTTGTTGTTGTTGGCGTTTAAAATGAATTTTTTTTTTTTTTTTTTTTTTTTTTTTGGCATTTCGTACGATTTGCCAATTTTGAGTTCATCTAAAATTAACAACGAACGATTCACGCAAAAGAAAAATTTTTTTATTTTTATTTTGATATTCGAATTTGAAATTCTTTCGAGATGAATAATTTTTCTTTTTTTTTTGTTGACACAGGATAGGGAGTGGGAGGGGGAGCTTCGGATTTTTCAATTTTGTTTTTTTTTTTTTTTTTTGTTTTCACATTTTGCAAATGACAAAAAAAAAAAAATATTAAAAAACGATGGAAAATTGATTTTTTTTTTTTCGGTTATTATTGAAGTGAAAATTAAGTTTTAAAATGCGCGATACACTGTGTGAGAGATTTTTAACGAATCGTCGTCATCATCACCCCTTTGAACACAAAGTTCATTTTTTTTTTTTTTTTTATAAAATTCCATCTGCAGATTTATCTCACACTCAGTGAGAGAGAGAGAGAGAATCTCTCTCTCCCACATCTTTCGAAACAGAAATAAAAATAAGAAAAAAATAAAAAAATGTCGTTTTGATTATTATTATTATTCGGTGGGGAATTATTTTTTATTTTATTTTATTTTATCTGCATGTTTAAATGTTTTTTAAAAAAATAATAATAATATTGAGAGAGAGAGAGAGAGAGAGAGAGGGAGAGAGGGAGAATGGCGGGAGAGTGAAAAAGAAAAGAAAAAAATTAAAAAAATTAAATGAAATTTGTTTTTAATCCCTTTAGAGAATTTTTCGTTTTTGGATTTGAATGAAAAAATTTCGAACCTGGGTTGAATGATTGATTGATTGAATGATTTATTGATTGATTGATTGATTGATTGACCCACTAAAAATTTCTGGAGCCTTGCTGGAGTCTTCTTATATTAAATTTTTTAGATTTGCAACGCAAGACTTTTTTTTTTGAGGCAATCCAAACATACCAAAACGATTTTTAATTTTTTTTTATTTTATTTAAAAAATTTAATTATATAAGCGACAGGAAATTATCATCATTATCATCATCATCATCATCATTATCATCATCATTATTATTATTATTATTATTATTATTATTATTATTATTATTATTACGGCGTTTTCATCTTTCGAACAGACGTCAACGTCGGAGTCTGAAATATATATATATATATAAATATCCATTCCATTCTCGTTTCGGCTCATTTCTAAGAGGCTCTTTCATTAAATTTATTATTATCATTATTATCATTATTATTATTATTATTAATATTATTATTATTATTTTCTTTTCGAAATTTGGGTTGTGTCGTCGCATAGCGTGAATTCCAATACGGTCGTTTAATTCGATTTCTTTTTTTTCTCTTCTTTTTCTCTGTAAACCTTTCAAAAGTTTTCGATGTTATGATTATTATGATTATTATTATTATTATTATTAATGTAATCGATCGCTCGAAAAGAAAAAATTA